TATTTGCAAAGCAGAAACAGAGACACAGATATAGAGAACAAATGTATGGATACCAAGGCAGACGGGGTGGTGGGAGATTGGGGTTGACATGTGTAGATAACTAATGAGAACCTACTGTATACCATAGGGAACTCTCTACTCAGTACTCTGTGATGACCTACATTGGAAGGAAATCCAAAAAAGAGGGGTTGTACTATACATATAGCTGATCACTTTGCTCTACAGCAGAAATTAACACAAGATTGTAAAGCAACTATATTCCAATAAAAATAAATTTAAGAATTGCAAAAAAAAAAATCATCAGTCTTACCTGGAAGAAGCTGTATAGTGCCCAAGTCAAATTTTGGCTTATTAAAGCTTTGTTCTGTTATTGAAACGGACTTGCTCAGTAGGTTCTGACTTTTACTTTAGTCAAATAAAGGGTCTATAAGCTTTGATTCAGAAATGAACAAATAGTTGAAATGAGAGCCAAGATTTTTTTCTAAAAAATGTTCCGGGTTGCTTGAAATATTTGGGAAAAAAAAACTCAAGGAAACTAACAAACTTTTAAACTATAGACCATACTACTGTGGCCTAAAACAGTCTAAGGACATAACACATTGTCTTTTTCACATAGCATTAAAAATGACACTTAAAAAACACTACTCAGTCATGAAAAAGAATGACATAATGCTATTTGCAGAAACATGGATGGACCTAGAGAATAAAGACTAAGTGAAAAAGTCAAACAGAGAAAGACAAATTCCATATGATATCACTTATATGTAAAATCTAAAATATGACACAAATGAACTTATTCATGAAACAGAACAGACTCACAGGCATAGAAAACAAGCTTATCATTACCAAAGGGGAAGGGAGGTGGGGAGGAATAAATTAGGAGTTTGGGGTTAGCAGATACAAGCTACTGTATATGAATAGATGAAGATTGGGAACTATATTTAGTATCCTCTACTAAACTACAGTGGAAATGTAATGTGAAAAAAAAAAAAATAACCATTAAACATCTAAATTTTTGAAACAGAATCATACAATATCTGGGATCAGACCACAAGGGAATTAAAGTGGAAATCAATAACAGAGAGATAACCAGAAAATTCCAAGATATGGAGAGACTAAACATATTTTTAAATAATACATAATCCAAGAATCAACTGCAAAAGAATTTTAAAATATTTTGAACTAAATAAAAAATGGGGATGTAATTTATCAAAATTTGTGATACGCAGAAAAGCAGTACTTAAGGAAATTCACAGCACTGAATACATATATCAGAAAAGAAGAAAGATCTAACATCAAAAACCTAGGTTTCCACCTTAGAAACCTATAAAAACAACAGCAAATTAAATACAAAATATGCAGAAGAAAAGAATGAGAACAGAGACAACACTACAAATCCTATGTACATTGTAAGGATAATAAAGGAACACTGAAAAAGTATTTGTTTAAAAATTATATAACCTAGATAATCACCAATTCCTTAAGAGGCACAATCTTCCAAAATTCACAGAAGAAGAAACAGATGATCCAACCACTCTGGAAGACTTTTGGTCTGAGACAAAACTATATTCTTATTTTAAGATCTAGCAATCACATTACCTGGTATTTACGCAAAGGAGTTGGAAACACAGACCCACACAAAAACCTGCACATGGATGTTAATAGTGACTTTATTTATAGCTGCCAATACGTGGAAGCAACTCAGATACTTATCAACAGATGAATGGATAAACAGTGGCAGCCAGACGGTAGAATATTATTCAGTGCTAAAAAGAAATGAGCTATTATATGTCATGAAAACACACAGAGAAACCTTAAATGTACATTAGTAAATAAAAGACATCAATCTGAAAAGGCTACCTATTGTGTGATCTCAACTATAGGACAATGTGGAAAACATGAAAGTATGGAGTAAAAGATCAGTGGTTGCCATGGTTTCAGGAGAGGAATGAAGAAGAGGAGCATATAAGATTTTTAGGGCAGTTAAAATACTCTGTCCTTCAACTCAATTTTGCTGTGACCCTAATGCCACCCTAAAAAACCCAAAGTCTTAAAAATGATCCCTACTATGGTTATTTTGAATTTTTGAACCTAACTGAATCTTTGTTGTTCAGAGTGTATGTTTAGTTAGTATCCAATTGACTATTTTATTCCAAGACCAGCATCAGAAGAACTTGTCCCCAAAGTCACCACAGCTACCTAAAAGCCATGCTACTTTGGAAAATTACTCTAAAATAAGTGTATTAATAATTTCAAAGTGAGCATATTAAAAATCACACAGAATTATGAGTTAAATTAATTAACTTGTACAAAGAGACCTGCATACAATAAGCTTGCAGAAAACTCTGTAACCCTTTCTACTGCCATCCTTCTTTCCTACTAAGTTTCCACTTAGTTCTAACACTATAAGTTTATCCTGGAATCAGAGTGGCTTGATATTTTACTTTTCTACCAAAATTCCAATATGTCTGAGCAAAAAGCCCTGTAAATTCCTGCAGCTTGCATAGAAATCTTCTACTGAAGTGTTAAGAAGTTCTTAACATCTGATGAGAGCTTTCAAGATTTATTTTTTACAATATCACATTCTCCAGATAACACTGAATGATTTTCTGGTCACACCATAATTGAACACATTTTTCCCTTTTATTGATTCATCTCCCATCACTATTAGCTAATTTTATCTTAGGACCTGGCTAATCACATCTTTTCTGAATAGACCAGTTATTAGGATTGAATGTATGGAAATACTGTGGCAAATCATTTGCAACAGCTGGAAAATTCCAGAAACTGCTAGATACTTTGATTGTTCTGAATAGCTTCTAGTCTAAGTTGCCTAAAACTTCTTGGGGCATTTTATGATGTATTTGAAAAAGAAAATTCAGAAAGTCTATTTCTAAGACACTAGAAGGTTATTTTTCAAATCTAGCTCAGAGGTGGTTTGGTTGTAATTAATTTCTGGAAGACAGGTACTAAGGACTAATTTCAGGCCAGGATCAACAAATACACAAAATTTTCTGCAAGGAAAACATGATGCCCTGACTCGGAAAATTATATAGACTTTCCTTGATTAGTCATTGAAATACAGTGGGTCATTACAAAGGGAGAAATTATTAAAAATCAATCACTACAAATACAAATTATCTAAGAATTGTCTATAAATTTACTTTTAAGTTATCACCATTCTGGCACATATATACATCATAAAAATTTAGTGTCCTAGATATATTCAACTCAGAGATTAGCAGACATGTTTAACAATAGGGAGTATTTACTGAATGGAGTAATTTCATTCTGTTACTTCCTTCTAGTTATCTCTCAGCTACCACAGGGTGATAAAAATCTGATGAACAACTTCTTTAATTCTGCTTGATCTAGCCAGAGAGACACTTTGCCTTGGCAAAGCAAGTACAGAGGAGTCAAATTAAATTTGCACTTAACCTACAAACTGTAGTTTACGGCATCAGGAAAATTTAGAAAAAAACAAACAGTTCAATACAACATCCTTCTTAATAGGTGAATGCCTCAGATTAGTGAAGCAATACATATGAAGAACTAAAGTAGGTTGTGACAGCTATGGGACAAATACATGAATGATATTAAGGGTTTCCTGTCAACTGAAAAAAATAAAACATTGTTAAATGGCCAAATCAGTGCATGACATTTTCACTGACAGTTTCAATGAATAAATTAATCGATGGCCATAAGTACACACATATTAATGAAAAATTAAATTTAAATAACATAATCACTGCCATATTTCTAAAATAATTTTGAGATTAATTTTTTTATATGTATAATTTTTATTATACTAATTTCGGAATATATAAGATATGAGCATCCCATTCAATAAATAACCCAAGGGAAGAGACACAGACACAACACACCAAGTCAGCCAGATAGCTGGTCTCAGTGTGGGAAGAAAACGCAGATCTTTCAATACAGAACCACTTATGGGAAGGCAATCTACATGTCCTAAACAGCACAAGACAAAGTCTTCATTGAAAATAGTTCTACTACAGGGCCTGGACAGAAATGTAGATTCTACATGTTACAGATACTTGTATAACCAAAGTCTTTAATTTAAAAAAATGCCGTGGGACTTCCCCGGTGGTTCAGTGTTTAAGAATTTTCCTGCCAATGCAGAGGACACAGGTTCAATTCCTGGTTCGGCAACTAAGATCCCACGTGACACAGGGCAACTTAGCCCACAAGCACCACAACTACTGAAGCCCACGCTCCCTAGAGCCCATGCTCTGCAACAACAGAAGTTTCCACAATGAGAAGCCCAAGCATTGCAACTAGAGAGTAGACCCTTCTCACCATGACTAGACAAAGTCTGCTCATAGCAACAAAGTCCCACAACAGCCACCACCCCCACCAAAAAAAAAAGTCAGAGATGGGAGAGGTTTGGATGTGATGTGTGATGGACAAAAGTAGCCTGTTAAAGTCGTCCCTTGGGTGTGGAAAAATGAAGTTGACTTTGCTAGTCTCCATTTCAAGTGCCAGGGAGAGGCTATTTGTCATCTCTCTCACTTAGGAGTGAATCTGAGGTCTACAAGCAGTTGTTTTCACAGCGCTGTGGTCAACTAACTGCTTGGTACTCTGGAAGCTAATAACGTGCAGGTCTAATGTAGGCATTCTCTGGTATGGATGCAAGGGCACTTCCCATCAATCCCTTCTTCCTGCCAGAGACAGGAACTATTTCACAGGTTAGATATGTAGGATGAGACTGAAGCAAACATCACTCTCTTCTAGGGATCCAGGTAGTTTAACGTTGGTGATAGAGAAAAGGAGGCACAAGTGTCAATTAGCTACATTGAGCCCCATTTCTCGTCTATCAGGGCTGACCTCTAAAGAAAAGTTGATTTTTCTTCTGATTTATAGGAGTGACTTTTCTGAAAAAAACTAATATAGCTTACACTAAAATCTATCAATATTAAATCAATAAAGTTCAGGCTCATTACCCTTTTCATAGCTAAGAAGAAAACAGAGATACAAACCTTGAATTTTCTTCTCACTTCCGCTACTTTCTGTTCTAATTCCTCTGTTTTAAATCTGGTTAGGTGAAAAACAGCACTGATGTTATAAGCTTCCTTGTATAGTTGTTTAAGAAACTCTTCATTTTTTGACCTCATTTTCAACAAAGATTGGATTTCGGACTCGAGCTCTGATTTTTTCCTTATACTGTAAAAAAAATAAATAAATGAAGCATAAATATTGATATGATTATTCCAAAAGAGGATATATTGAGGCAAATATATTTAATAATGATTAAAAGTGAACAAAATCATATTTTATGTTGCCAAAAATACAAAATAACCATACACTTAATCTAAACTAAGAGAAAAAAAATCCCCAAATTCCATTTCTTTTTCTGCTTCTCCTGATGGCTACTTCTAATCGATAAGCTGTGCTCAATATCAGGAGAAAAAGCATATTAATAAGAAAGGCTTGGCAAACTAAGATGGTCAAATTTCAGAGCACTGAGTTCCTTCTATAGCCACCCATCCTTTCTAATCCTACATAACATTGCTACTAAGAATAATAAAATACAAGAAAAATTCAGCCCATGAAAAAGAGAAACAAAACTCAACAAAAGGAAACAACGAAAACAAATTTCTCAAAAAGAAAACCAATAGCTAAGGGAAAAGAGTTGGTAGGGAAAAAAAGAAGGTAAGACATTAATATCACTGTAAGATTCCCAAAGACACAGAGAAATACAAGATTCTATGGCACACTAGTTGTCCATATTAGTTGTCCATACTAGTCCACAGACTGGTTGTCCACTAGTTTCTATGGCAGTTACTGTTCACACTGGGTACTGCCTTTGTTCCAAATATAAATCACTGAGGCATACAATATAAGAAAATACAAATATATATATATAGTTACACTCACAAATGAGGTAACCATGTTTGTAGAATAGAAATGGAACTAGAAAGCAAAGTAGCAGTTAGGGACTTAAGGACAGTCATTACAAAGAAATAAAAAAGTAACTGTGAGGTCATTGGTGTGTGGTAATTATTTCACAAAGTATATGCGTGTCAAATCATTACATTTCATGCTTTTAACGTGTACAATCTTGTCATTTGTACCTCAGTAACACTGAAAAAATTTTAAATGAAATGACAGGTAGGAGGTGTGTGTAACAAAATTTTATGTGAAAAATTTCCAGTACTGAAAACCAGAATGGGTCATTAAATTGAAAAGTCCCACTTAGTACTAAACTGGATATGTTAAGACACCCGGAAACACACACCCCCATAGATGTGCAACTGTGAAATTTCAGAACTCTGAAAATAGGAAGAGAAAATTCTAAACTTCCCAGAGAGAAAAAACAGATTATCTACAAAGAAATGATATCCAAATATCATCAGATGTCTTATCAAGCAAAACTAAATGAAATACAGGTAAGCTCAGATTTAACGTAAAACTGATGACTATAATTAATAATAGTAAAAATAATACTGTATTAAATACAGGAAATGTGCTAAGACTGTATATCTCAAGTGCCAGTGTTCTGGTCTGGAGAATTCCAGGGACTGTATAGTACATGGGGTCGCAAAGAGTCAGACCCACTGACTTTCACTTTCACACCACAGGCATACACACAAAAGGTAACTGCATGAGATGATGTCTTAATTAGCTTGATTGGGATAATCATTTCACTATGTACATTCAAATCATCATGATATACACCTTATGTATGTACAATAGTTTAAAAATTAAATGAAATAAAATGAATAATACTTTCAAATTAATGAGAAAAAATGACTTTAGATCTAGAATATGATACCTTGAGAAAATCCCTGTTTGAATGAATATGGATTGAATAGAAAATGAGGTGTGAGTTCATGGAAACAGGAGTGTCTATTTGAATAAGATTTTTCACACAAAGAATGGAAGAGCATTTTGGGGATGCAGTGCTCTGCTTTGTCTTGTGTTTGCTTCTTCTAAGCTGAGCAATATTATACAATGTTAATAAACTATTAAAATAGAGAAAAATAACAATGACTCATGGAAAAGAGGAAAAATTGTAGGTGCCAAGCCTCTGAGTATATTAAGCAAGAACAGCGTCCATGTGGCAAGTGTATGGGTGGTGAGTACTCCTATACAGAAGAGTCTTCCATTATTGGATCAGAATGTGTGAAGACAGATGCAAATAGGTTGTTAAGAGAAAAGGTAATTCCCATTTAATTGCATGTATGTTCTTTATGAATTACAGTGGGAGATCATTAGCTTAAAATGAGGGTGATGTGCATATTAGGATTGAGGAGAGAGAGAGGATATGAAACAGTTGTCAGAAAAACTGAAGTGTCTAGAAATTTCTTGGCATGTTAAATATTGCTTGAGACTTATAGCCATGGAATTTAAGTTCTACTCAAGGGCAAATGTATTCCAGTGTTAATGAAGCTTAAATATGAGGGCCTCTAACTGATCCTAGCCCTTAAAAAGTCCTTTGAGTGCCCCTAATGGTATTTTTACATGGTCATATGTTTTTGTTAAGTTTGCAAAAATGAGATATTTTAACCACAATTTATTAACACTGTTTTCTCTATTTTTCCTTTTCTAATATAATTTATCTTCTGTCAAGTGACATTAAAATGACTGTGAGCATTTTGTATTATAATTTTATGCTCCTTCTTTCATAATGAGGCTTCTCCTTCTATAACCTTTGAAAGTGAAAGTGAAGTCGCTCAGTCGTCTCAGACTCTTTGCGACCCCATGGACTGTAGCCTACTAGGCTACTCCATATATGGGATTTTCCAAGCAAGATTACTGGAGTGAGTTGCCATTTCTTTCTCCTCTATAACCTTTTAGGGTCCACCAAACCAGTATCCACCCATGATGACAGTAATTAGTATAGTTGTGTTTTGTTAGCCACAATCAACTGTTAGGATCCTGGTTTAGTCCAAAGATATACTTTCAGGTCATAGAAACAAAGTTTTGGAAGCGATTTTAAATGAATGCTTATTTTGATTACAAGTAGGTTGTATAAAAAAGGAAGGAAAACAAGAAGGGGATATACAAATACATTAGGGATGAGAGACTAATCATCATAAAGGGTTATATAATTGCTGCAGCAACAGTAGAACGAGAGGAAGTACGCTAAAGAGAGAGGTTCTGGTTGTCAGGGAGGAGATTCTTAAAATCAAGATCAGCGGGTCACTCCAGTGCTGGAAATGACAAGATGGTTTGTGTGAGGTAGAAGACAAGATGGTTAGGAATCTGGAGGTCTAAGAACTGAGAATCCAAGTTCTAGTATGTACTTTAACAGAGACCAAATTCAGATTTTGATTGCTTCTGAAGAGCGAGCAAACAGAAACAGGAAGGGCTATTTACTTGCAAGATTTCAATCCCTTAAAGTCTAAAGTAGTAATGCATCTCTGAGTAGTTAATTTTGAATAAGGCATATACCATTTTCTCTATCTAAAACTTAAAACTAAAACTTAAAAAATAAAATAGCTTAAGCATTTTCATTCAAAAGTTTGCTGCTAAATGCTAGAAAAAATCATATTCTATATCTATACTCCTAAGAAGTAACTCAGATTAATAGGCTGATAAGATATAGCTGTATGCAGGTCAGGAAGCAACAGTTAGAACTGGACATGGAACAACAGACTGGTTCCAAATAGGAAAAGGAGTACATCAAGGCTGTATATTGTCACCCTGCTTATTTAACTTCTATGCAGAGTACATCATGAGAAACGTTGGGCTGGAAGAAGCATAAGCTGGAATCAAGATTGCTGGGAGAAATATCAATAACCTCAGATATGCAGATGACACCACCCTTATGGCAGAAAGTGAAGAGGAACTAAAAAGCCTCTTGATGAAAGTGAAAGAGGAGAGTGAAAAAGTTGGCTTAAAGCTCAACATTCAGAAAACTAAGATCATGACATCTGGTCCCATAACTTCATGGGAAATAGATGGGGAGACAGTGGAAACAGTGACAGACTTTATTTTTGGGGGGCTCCAAAATCACTGCAGATGGTGATTGCAGATATGAAACTAAAAGACTCTGACTCCTTGGAAGGAAAGTTATGACCAACCTAGAGAGCATATTAAAAAGCAGAGACATTACTTTGCCAACAAAGGTCCATCTAGTCAAGGCTATGGTTTTTCCAGTGGTCATGTACGGATGTGAGAGTTGGACTGTGAAGAAAGCTGAGCGCCTAAAAATTGATGCCTTTGAACTGTGGTGTTGGAGAAGACTCTTGAGAGTCCCTTGGACTGCAAGGAGATCCAATCAGTCCATCCTAAAGGAGATCAGTCCTGGGTGTTCATTGGAAGGACTGATGCTGAAGCTGAAACTTCAGTACTTTGGCCACCTCATGCGAAGAGCTGACTCACTGGAAAAGACCTTGATGCTGGGAGGGATTGGGGGCAGGAGAAGAAGGGGATGACAGAGGATGAGATGGCTGTATGGCATCACCAACTCGATGGGCATAAGTTTGAGTAAACTCCGGGAGTTGGTGATGGACAGGGAGGCCTGGCATGCTGCAATTCATGGGGTTGCAAAAAGTCAGACACGACTGAGCGACTGAACTGAACTGAAGATACAGCTACACAAGTATGAAAAACACAGTACCCTGGGAATTCATTCTAAGTATTTCAGGCTATTCAACAACTTCAATCATATTCTAACTGCTATCTCGACAAATAAATCACCATCCTGTTAACTCTTGATAAACATATTTCATAAAATATATCAGTTTGTCTTTATAGTGTTCAATAGCCTTTTTGCTCATTTCCCTTAATGATCAATCTCATCTTTGGATCACTGCAGTTACAGTGGCATTTTCTTGCTTGAGGTATGGTAGAGCATTAGAAGTAGGTATTTAGAATATTTTACAGAGCTTAAATGTAAGAAAATGGCTATATAGAAATTCATACCACACAGTTAACTTCAGCAAACTAAATCCAAACGAATCAACTTCAAGTCATCTTAAACAAGTTCATTTCCTTGACTTAGGCTGCTGAAGCCTATCTATCATGTGAATAAGCAATCAAGTAAAACTATTTGCTCACATCAAAAGTCCCAAATACAAAGGGTTCATTGTAAATGGATGCTGGCTTATTTGAAAGACAAAATTATTAAATTATGCACTGCTACTCCAAGGTAAGTAATCATATACCATCATCATCACCAAAAGATCTTGCAGATATTTGTTATACACAGAGTACTGAACAAAGTTTGTTGAAAATTGCATCTCTCTTTTAATATTTCCATTTTAAAAACGGGCTATATAGGAACAATAGATCATATACCTAATTAATTATTTAGTTAATATCTTCATGTTAGCATAGGTGCATAGTAGAACAAGTTCATGTTCTGCTCAGCTTCAATAAGTGGTAGAGTCTGTAAAGCAGTTTTAGAGAGGTGTTAGGAACTTTCAAGTATTAGAGCCAATCTTCTATAAATCTATTTAACATTTGTAAACAGCAACGATGCTAAGAAATATTTCTAAACAAAAAATCATATATATTTAAAATAAGTCATAAAAATAGAAACATAAATATTAGAGTAATTCTCACAAAAATTAAGGTTCACCCATATAATAGACTTTTGTATAGATATTTAAATGATGTATTTGAAATCTGTATAACAATATGGCAAAAGTACAACTATTCCATGATGGAAATAAAATCAGAATACACAGTTTCATCAAGAAAGAAATAGCAATATATTAATAGTGATTACTTCTACTGACATGATTTTAGGTTTTCAATCTGTTTTTGTACATTTTACATTTTCTTTTCTACACTAAATATGCATTACAATCAAGCTGCCAAAAAGATCATACAAGATACTTTTGCTCTGAATGCCCTGGAAATTTGATAAAATGGAGTTTTTAGTATCATAGTTGGGAAATTAAAAAAAAACCATCTTGGGCATATCCAAGGAAACAAACTGAAAAGCAGAACCACTCTCAAAAATATAAAGATGCAAATGATTAACAACTTTTTCCTAGGACTCAAAGATTTCCCACCTATGGTTTCCAAAAGAAAATGGACAACACACATTAAAGGCAGCCAAGAACACAAGGGTAAGAGACAGCAAAAGCATCAGCTAGAAGAATAAGATACAGAAGCAAATAACAAAATTACACATATTTACATTACTGGGGATAGATTATAAAATAATTATTCATATCATGTTTAAGAAGCAAAAGATAAGCTTTAAATATCTGCAAAAAACAGAGAATCATAAAGTGACTTAGAAGACTTGGAAGTAAAGCAAATGAAATTTGGAAATGAGTAATTATTTTTGCACCTATCTATCTTAGTAAGAGACTTTCAAAAATAAGATTATCCTAAGAACTGCTGTGACATATGAACCGCTGATTTATGTGATCACATTTTGCCTCGGTCCTTTGTTTTCTTTTCTTTTGGAACATTACTTAGATACATGGCAGATATGATCTTATCTGCACATCTTTCAATTTCTCTTTTATTCTGCAAACATTTCATCACTTTAACATTGCTTCTTCTCAATCTGCTGCTAAAATCACTGATTTAATTTTAAGTTTCAGATCCAAATTTGAGGAAAGAAATTAGTAAGTGACATCTTAAGGTATTACATGAAGAAGCATAATGTATACCATGGAACTTTTTCTCTATAACCACGGCTACATTCCCACTCCTGTACTAGTGTTCTCAATTGTTCATTATCTCTCTTTTTAAGGTTAGACTTCCTGCCTGGTTAACACTGGACTTGGCCATATGACTTGTTTTGGTCAATGGAGTGTGAACAGAAGTAAAATTTTTCATCTTTTATGGAAGCTATAGAGCCACTGAGTGATCTCACTAATGCACTTGTGCTACCAAAGCAACATGCCCTAGAAGGATCTGATCCTTCACCTGGATCTGAGAAGCAGAAATAAGATGAAGCACACACAAGCAGACACAGCTCAGCTTCAGTATGAATGAGAAATAGACCTTTATACTTGTATACCACTGGGCTTCCCAGGTGGCGCTAGTGGTAGAGAACACACCTGCCAATGCAGGAGACATAAGAGATGTGGGTTTGATCCCTGAGTCAGGAAGACCCCCTAGAGAAGGGCCTGGCAACCCACTCCAGTATTCTTGCTTGGAGAACCCCATGGGCAGAGGAGCCTGGCAGCATACAGTCCATAGGGTCACACAGTCGGACACAACAAACGATTCAGCAAGCACGCAACCCTAAGACTTGGTGGATGCTCATTACTGCTGGATAATCTAAAGAAGTTTAACTCTCACACTCTTTTCCTTCCCTCCAGAGCTGTCTTGTCATTAGCTTACCAACTCTTCAGACTTATCTTCTCCCCTGGTTCTCTTTCTTAATAAAGTATACAGCTACAATTTTAGGTTATCCTTTAGAAAACAATGTCCTTTTTGCTTTCTTTAAAATAGTATGTTTAACATGCAGATGAATTTTACAGTTTCATTCTATCATCCAAAGATAAAATAAGCACAAAGAAATTGTATCAAGCTTCGTATACAACTGCCCAGTATCATCATCACCTCTCTCTATTCTTTCTGTTTCCCCTCCTTTCAATAATTAATAATGGATATCATAGTATGGGTCAGGAATTATGCTTGATGATGAAGATTCAGTGATGAGGAAAATATGGCCATGGCTTATGTCTTCCCTCATGGATCTTCCCATTTGTTAAGGAAGACGGACATCAATCAAATATTTACATACAAAAAACCTGCAAATCTGACAAATGATATGAAGGAGAAGAGAAAATATGCCATCTACACACATACTAGAGGGACTGGATTTAACCGGACAATCAATGAAAGCTTCCCAGAACTGACTCCTCAGCTGTAATCTTCAGTACAGACAGCAATCTACTAAGTAGAAGTTAAAGGAAAAACACTTATTGAAAAGACATTAGCATGAAAACACCTTAGAGGCTGGAGAAAAAAAGTAACAAGGAGTAGTAGCTGAAGTAAGGACACTATATTTGAACCAAGTAATAAGGCTGAACCTTGTGTTACAGGAGACTGCAGAACCAGGCATACCTGCCTATTGAGGGACCTTGTGGGATACATTAAGTTGGGACCTTTGTCCCCTCACCCTGCTAAAATTAGTGTAAGTATGGAGGGAAATGGATCATATTTATGTTTAAAAATTAAAAGGAAAAGAGAATGCACTAACCATAATGAAGATAATGCATTAGAAAGGGAATATAGTTACTGCAGGAAAACCAGCATTGGAAGGGAGCTATGCTCACTATACCAACAATGCTGCTCAAAACCAGTTTTGGAAAACACCATAAGTTCAGTTTGTACCAGAGTTCTGGTGTAGAGTGAAGCAGATAGATTAAAATTTTATTTAGTATGTGGAACATTTCCTGTTAACATGTCGACTGCTGCTGCTGCTGCTAAGTCGCTTTAGTCGTGTCCTACTCTGTGCGATGCCATAGACGGCAGCCCACCAGGCTCCCCCGTCCCTGGGATTCTCCAGGCAACAACACTGGAGTGGGTTGCCATTTCCTTCTCCAATGCATGCAAGTGAAAAGTGAAAGTGAAGTCGCTCAGTCATGTCCGACTCCCAGCGACCCCATGGACTGCAGCCCACCAGGCTCCTCCGTCCACGGGATTTTCCAGGCAAGAGTACTGGAGTGGGGTGCCATTGTGTTCTCTGAACATGTTGTCTATCGGGGTTGAAATAAAAAGAGGAATCAAGAAAATTCATGCATTTATGAGACAAGAAATCTAGTTTAGCAGTTTCAGGGAAGAAATGAGTATTGACTGAAGGAGATTATGAGTTTGATTAGACATATTTTAAAGTATTTTTGAGTATAAGAGAATATGTTAAAAGGAAGTGATATGAATGAGTGTAAAACTTCTTATAAGATCATTTTTTCACTACGTTAATTTTTCTAAAGGAATTCAGAATGGTTAAAGAGCAACACTTGGGATAAAGATAAAATGTGAGCTAATCATAAACAGAAACGCCATCATACCATCTACAAATGAACGAACACAAAATGTAGTCATTTATCACATTTAACATATTAGATATGTTACATAATAAGAATGAAAAGCATATTGGCAGTATTACCTGTCATTGATATAACCTAGTACAGTGTCAATATCAATATTGAGTCTTTTATTTTCTTCCACCAATTGAGAATATGCTATTGAAATATCAGAAAAATCCTTTGCAATATTAGAAAGTTCAATATCCCATGTTGATTTCTTAAAAAAAAAAAAAGAATCATTTATACATGTTTATGTAACTCAAAAAGAAAAAAATTGTGTAATAATGAAATTACTTTTAGTTGCATGAGTTAATAGTTGGGAAAACAGAATGAAGCTCTGTTGGGAAATATGGAAACATCAACTTACTGTGGCATAAAAATTATTAAGTACTTCCAAATATTCACTTTCATAAATCTTTTTCTTCCAGTGTAGTTGATCATAAAGCCTTTTCAAATCATCCAGCTAAAGAAAAAATCCATACACAAAATAAATTGTGGCGCTTTCCATTCTTTTGTAAAGTAAGAAATAAATTATCTTTCAAATTATGCAACTACAGTAACTTAAATATTGATTAAAATATTATAAAATAACAATGCAGGCTGTTTTCATTATGAAAACTGATGCAAGATTCCAAATACAATTAGCAAGTCTAACAGTATTCAAATGAATAATCTTGATAAAATAGAATGTATTTTACTTTTAAGAATTGATAAAAATTAGAAAATTTAAATTGCAAATACTGCTATCAACAAATTAAAGAAGAAAATAACATGAATATGGCCAACATTCCACAAAAAAGCCATTTGACAAAATCACTAGTTTCCATAATTTTTCACCTAGCAAAAGGAAAACATACCCAAATAAAAAGAACCAACACGTAATATCAAAATAAATCATAAATGCTGAACCCATGCCCACTGAACTCAAAAATGAGGCCACATTATCTTTTATCACCACTGTTATTAATCATGTTTTATGAAATTTAGCTAATCCAAGTAGATGAAGAAACCAAATGTTACTAGTATAATACTGAATATGAATATATGTCTTCAATTTTAGATGGTATGATTGAATACCTAGTAAGATAAACTATTCTATTTAAGACCACAATAAATAAATTTGGGGAAGATAGCATAAGAGAATTAATAAGTGTTTACATACAAAGGTAGTAATCTGTTAAAAGCATTATGACAATATTTAAAAACTTTTGTCAAAAATATAATATTTGGAAATAAATTCAACACAAAAGGGAGGACCTGTAATACAGCAAACAAAAATTCTTATTTAAAAGCTTGTTGTTGTTGTTTAGTCACTACATCATGTCAAGAAAAAATATTTCATAGAAACGTTTAATATACTGTCAGTTATCCCAAAATTAATATAGACAAAATAAAGAGGAGTATTTCCTTTTAAACTTCATGAAATGAAATTCATATGGAAGAAATGTATGTGAAGCTAAATAAGAGGTATATGAAAAATAAGAATAATATTTGAAATGTGCTACCAGATATTAAAACATCTTATAATACCACTATATTAAAGGAGTATTTATTTTGGGCATTGCAATAAAGAAAGAAGGAAAACCTAGAGCCTCACAATCTGAATTTATTTTTTTAAGTATTTGAATTCAGTGAGAAAGAAGTTATTTACTTTAATTAATGGGTTAGAATAATATAGAACTTCTGTTTAAAAAAAAAAAAGTGATATTTCTATTTCCCATTCAACTGACTTCATAACAAACACAAATTTCAGAATGACAGAAACCCAAATACAAACACAAAAACAGTCCAAATTATTAAACAACATGATTCTATGTGCATAATCTTGAACTGAAAGAGAATGTTATCTCGCCAAACAAACCAAGATTTGTGATGTATCCAATGGCATATTTTACAAAACTTGTGTGGCAAAAGACAACATAAAAACACTGAAGGAAAAGTTGAGACTGAGAAAAATCTGAGATATAGTTAGTCCTCATGAAGGATATCGGTGGATGTGGTAGATTAAAAACATCTGAAAGCTCTTCTCCATAAAGGTAATGAGAAATCTGGCTCAAAAAAAGGTCAAAATTAGATTTTTCAGAACTTTGGAAATTGAATGAAGGCTTGCAGCAAATGGGGAGCACCTAAAAGATAAATAGTTTAATCTGAGTAAGAGGTGAGAGCTTTGTGCGTTTGAACTTGTCCTAATCCTTCCCTCCAGGTTCATAATAGCCTTCCGTGCTCAGTTTCTTTCAATCCTTCCCAACCGCATGGACTGTACCCACCAGGTTCCTCTGTTCATGGAATTTTCCAGACAAGAATACTGGAATGGCTTGCCATTTCCTTCTCCAGGGGATCGTCCCGACCCAGGGATCGATTTCTGGTCTTCTGCATTTCCTGCTTGGCAGGTGGGATTCTTTACCACTGAGTCTGAGCCTATTATAGGCTCATATTAATCTTGAATATCATATTAATCTATTAGGGAGAAATACATCAGTTGGGAAGCCACCAAATTCCACTGATCTGGAATGCTTTCAAATCCTCATTCCCAAAGAGTTGTCATTATCTGACCTATCTGTTAGTTTTTTGTGTGACTCCATTTGCAAGGATGTCTCTATCTTTTTGATACAGACCTCTCCCAGTACAAAATGTCTTCCCAGAAAATTTTCTCCTAAGCCATGAATTTTTCACCCAGGAAGACATGAAGTTCTAACTGAATTCACAAGGAAAATGGAGATTTTAGAAAAGCCCATATTAGAGAAAAATGGTTGATCATCCATTTACAGATCTGAGAGCAGGCATGTGTATTTGGTGGTCTGAACTAACTCAGTGAATAATTTTGACAACTGAATGAAGTACTTCCCCTTTAATCAAGACCTTAATCCCTAATCTCTCCTGTAGGGTATTAAGATATTAAATTAACACACATCTAGTTTTAAAGATAAGATAATTGAGTATCTAAAAGGTGTAAAGTGAAGGTCACAACCATAATGTGGAGGAGAAATCTGAGTCCAACACTATGAGAGACTAAAACAACATTATACCTAAATTGCTTTAAAAATTCTCAACCTCATGAGTCATCAGAGAAATGCAAATTTGAAGCCACAACAGGATAAATTCAACAAAAGTCTTATAGTTAAATATAAATAAAAGATAATATTAGATGATGATGCTAATCTGAGGCTGGAATTCTCATACATGGTGGTCTGAGTAGAAAATGTATAACTACTTTGGAAAAAAATTGTAATGATCTATGAAAACTGAATATATGCATCTTTGGACAAGTAATTCTCAACATAAATGAATATGTAATTTTAACATGTATTTTGAGGGACTTGGTCTGAAAAACTGCAAGGACTGAACAGCAATAAACTCGAACTGCAGGTTATGAAGAAACTGGATATCAAGTTTAATTTTCAAAAAGTAAAGCCCGAGATACCCACTAGACATCTAAAGGGAGATTGAGTTGGCAGTTAGATATACAAAGCTTATAATAAAAGACTAAGCCCTTGGAATCTCAGATGTTTGGAATTTGGGGACATAAAGAGAAATGGGTGAAGGAAGCTGAGAACAAGCTTCCAGAAAAGTGAGAAGAAACAAGAATAGTGTGTGTTCCAAAAGCCAAGAGAATAAAGTTTCCAGAGACAAGTGCTACATGTACATTAACTGAAGATAAGAACAATTAATTCAATTAATGGAAATATTTTCATTAAAAAGTGAGCTGTAAAAAGGGAAAAGTGAAAAGTTTTCAGAATTTTGGAAAAAAATATGAAAATGAAGGTAAAGTATGTAAGCCTTATCAGAGATATAAGGCATATGGTTTTTACTTGAATTAACACTGGCACAATTCAGCTTTTATTATTTTTCCATTAAAATATTTTTGTTAAAATAAGGACTTGTATTAATATTTAAAAGTTTTAGAGACATTTATCACAGCTTTGTTTACAATACCTAAAAACTGAAAACATCTTAAATGTGCAATAATAAGAGTCTAAGAAACTCTCAATCATTTAAGTTGTATTTTAAAATATGATTTTGCAGAAAGTTTTTATATAGGGAGAAATGTCATCAATTATTCTATGCATATGATAATATCCTTTCAAAATATCATAAGGTCTGTCTATATAAAACAAAGTATTAACAGTGACTACATTTAAATAGTTAGATCTTAGATCAGTAATTTCTGCTCCTCACATGAGTGTATTCTAAACTTTAAGGGATAAACATTAAGTATTTGTGCCATTTAAAAAGTGTATAAAATAATTTAAGATAATAGTTTGTGTAATGAATTCCACCAGATTTTATGAGGATCGTAAAGAAGAAAATAGGATCCATTAGTAGCAATTACAGTGTAGTGTAATGGTGAAAGCCTAACTGGGGATCATCTAAAGTGGGAATGTAAGGAGAGAAATAGAAACAATGAACACAGAAAATCCTTTCAAGGGCTTTTCCTGCAAAGTACAAGAAGAAATGCAATATATCTTAGGGTAAGATTTAAAAACAAAAACATGAAGCATTCAAAACAGGGAGGTGGAAAGCAAAAATAAAGAGAATAAACCTAAAGAAATAAAAAGAAAATTATAACTACAGAAACATACATTAATATTTCAGAAGCTGGAAGACTGTAGAATTGCTAATCCAAGAGTCACCTCTACTTTTTAATTCAATTTTTAAAAATTTGAAGAATCTCATTTAGAAAGTGAAAAATACACATGTAATTAAAAATAAGAGATGAGTATAAAAAAGCAATTTTATATCATGTTATATTAGATTTGAAAATTTTAACCCACTTTGATTATTTCTTGGTCCATCAAAAATTATAAAGAGATATCAAGGAGAAATATATATCTTAATAAAACTAATCATGACAAAGTAAAACAACTGTCCATAAAAATAATGCAATAATTCAAACAATCTAAAAAAATAAAAACAATAATCATTTTTCACCAATGTGTCCTATTAAAGTTTTAAGAAAAAGTTTACTTAAATCTATATTAATTCTCCAGGTAATAAGAAAGGAAGAAAAGCTTCACAATTCATTTAAAAAGCCAGCCTAATCCTGATAAGAAAATCTGTCAAATACAGCACAAATTAAGAACACTGCAATACAGACTGATTTATGAATATGGATGTAAAATCCTAAATAAAATAATTACAAATCAAACTCAGCAGTAAATTAAAAGAACAATAAACCATAACCAAGCAGAGTTCACCCCCGGAATTTTAAAATGGTTTAATTTTAATATAATACGTTGTTTCAATAGGTCAAGTGAGAAACCATTTCAAATCATCTTTACAGATGCTTACAAAGTATTCTGTGTAAGTAATCATCTATTCCTGATAGATTTTATAACCTGAGTATACTTTTAAAATCTTTAAAATGATAGCAAGCATATGTTTGAAATCAATATTTAGATAACATGAACCATTTCTCTAAAATAAAAACTTAAATAAAGAAAGCCAAATTCATAGATGTTTCTTAATATTTTATACATATTCCACACTATAAAATAAAAAGAGATGAAAAATCTTATGGCTAAAAAACTAGCCATGTGTAATTTTATACATTACCACATTTTATCCATATAACTCATAAAAACTATATAATAAAACAATAAGAAAAAATTGCATTGCAGTTTCGCTGTAACACAACTTTGTTTGTATGAGAAAAATCACTCTGCTTCTTTTCTTCTTAAAGTTCTTTCTTAAAAATTACTTTTTATTTTTTGGCCCTACCACATGACATGAGGAATCTTACTTCCCTTACTAGAGACAGAACCCGTGTCCCCCTGCAGTGGGAAGCAGAGTCCATACACCTGGACCATCAGGGAAGTCCCACTTAGCTTTTTTAGAGTGGTTTCCTATTTAGTAAATTAATAGCATCAATAATCATTGCTGGCTTATTTTTAATACAAAATTATTTAATTTGAAAGATTTTGAGATAAAATATTAATCAAAAGGTATATTGTAATAGGTATTTTTTGCATTTGAATTTATACTTACAGTACCCTAGATCAATAATTTGGCAATAAATATTAAATTTCTACTAAAAAGACAACATTCAAAAATATAAAAATATCACATATATACAAAAGTATTCACTTATTTACAACCTTTATCTGTAAAGTATATTAGAAATTAAATTTTCATACACCTATAATTGTTCAAAAAATATGAAAATCACAAAGGATTTCTGTATCTTTGAAAGTGATTTTGTATTACTTTATTGAGTGATTGGATAAAATGAACTGTAGATGGCTGTTTCTTTAATACTACAAGAAACAAAGAATTGCAGATAATGATATTAAAAAATGTTCCTAAGCTATGGGAGAAGTAGACTTCAAAGAAAACATTGGGAAAAATCATAGTAAAGCAGCTTTATTTTTACATTTAAAATGAATTTGATCTTGACAACATTTTTAAAGTACTTAACCAATTTTAAAATGTTTTCTACTTAATAGGAGCTATTGTTTATAGAAATGAGAAGGGAAAAATTTATTTTCCTAGATAAAGTGACAATACAAATACAGAAAAGTGTACATTAATGAAGTAAAGATTCTAAATTGAAAGCATGAAAAAAAACAAAATAAGTTGAAAGCATGATATGCCCTGAAATTTTAAAAGATCAGTTACATTGTGTGCAATTAGGCAGCACAAATCTTTTATTTTTCTCTTGAACTAAAAGTGCTGATTGCATACCAAAAAACAATGCCTGGAAATGATGCACAACATTGCTTTTTATTGAGTGTTTAATATGCCCACTTTGAAAATACAGCTCAAAGGTTTTTTATAATGAGCAAAACACAGAAAAAATATATCTAAACTTCAACATGCTCTCATCATCTCTATAAAGTATGATAGTTCACAAATTATTTCTATAATTGAAAAACATTACTAACCTGTAAGTACACTCATAATATCTCATCCAAATAATATTATGTTATGAAGGAAAAGACTTGCCATTTTTAGAAATGATCAAAAAAATTAAGAAAGTTATTTTAGGTTTAGTGAATAAATTTCCCCTCTTTGACAATATTTTATTAAATGACATTTTTATAAATGATAAATTTCAACATGATTAGAAAACTGAGCTCATAACTATTTGGCAACGCTACATTTTATTTCAACGTCTGCACTCTACTACATTCCACCTCATCAAGTGTTATCCAGACTCACAAGGTAAAGTGATTTTCCCTCAAGTCCCAAGAATTTGTCTCCTTTCATGTTGAAGTTTAAAATGAGAGGATTCAGCCAGACAGCAGCAGGACTGAGAGGATGAGCAGAGTTAAACATTGACACTTCACCTGCCTCCTCAGAAATCTGTATGCAGGTCAAGAAGTAAAGCTAGAACTGGATATGAACAACGAACTGGTTCAAAATTGGGAAGGAATACATCAAGGCTGTATATTATCACTCTGCTTAGTTAACTTATATGCAGAATACATCATGTGAAATGCAGGGCTGGTTGAAGCTCAGTTTGGAATCAAGACTGCCAGAAGAAACATCAATAACCTCAGATATGCAGATGTCGCCACCCCATGGCAGAAAGTGAAGAGAAACTAAAGAGCCTCTTGATGAAGCTGAAAAGGAGACTGAAAAATTTTGCTTAAAACTCAGCATTCAAAAAACTGAGATCATGGCTTCCGGTTCCATCACTTCATGGCAAACAAATGGGGAAACAATGGAAACAGTGACAGACTTTATTCTCTTGGGCTCCAAAATCACTGCAGATGGTGACTGCAGCCATGAAATTAAAAGATGTTTGCTCCTTGAAAGAAAAGCTATGACCAACCTAGACAATATATTAAAAAGCAGAGACATTACTTTGCTGACAAAGGTCAGCCTAGTTAAAGCTATGGTTTTTTCAGCGTCATGTATGGATGTGAGAGCTGAATTATAAAGAAAGCTGAGCAGTGAAGAACTGATGCTTTAGAACTATGGTGTGGGGAAGACTCTTGAGAGTCCCTCGGCAAATAGATGGGGAAGTAGAAACAGTGACAGATTTCATTTTCTTGGCTCCAAAATCACTGTGGACAGTAACCACAGCCATGAAATTAAGAGATGCTTGCTCTTTGGAAGAAAAGCTATGACAAACCAAGACAGTGTATTAAAAAGCCCATGATATCACTTTGTCAACAAAGATCCATATAGTTAAAGCTATGGTTTTTGCAGTAATCATGCATGGATGTGAGAGTTGGACCATAAAGAAGGCTGAGCACTGAATAATTGATGCTTTCAAACTAGGGTACTGGAGAAGACTCTTGAGAGTCCCTTGGACAGCAAGAAGATCAATAAAGTCAATCCGAAAGGAAATCAACCCTGAACATCCCCTGGAATATTAGGAATTCACTGGAAAATTCCCTGAAAGGACTGATGCTAAAGCTCCAATAATTTGGCCACTTAGTGGGAACAGCCAACATTGGAAAAGACCCTGATGCTGGGAAAGACTGACAGCAGGAGGAAAAGGGGGCAACAGAGAATGAGGTTGGTTGACGGCATCACCAACTCAATGGACATTAGTTTGAGCAAACTTGGCAGATAGTGTGACGGACAGGGAAACCTAGTGTGCTGCAGCCCATGAGCTCACAGGGTGGATCTAAATCTACCTATTTTAGATCAGTTTCTTTCAACTCCCTTATCCCATCCCATCCCTTCTGACACTTCAGTCCAGTGTGTTTCATTGTTTTTAGGCTTGCTTATTTCTGGATTACTCTACATTGCCTATGCAGTGGTGTAAGTCACTCCAATTTTAATTCAGGTGCATATTCCCTACACTGCCTAAATAAGAACAAAATACAAAATTTTCAGGGAAAGAAAATTCTAAGAATTTCAAATCTAACTCACTAAAGAAACTTATAGAAGATATACTTTATTAACAAGAAACAAAACAGTACCAAATCAGAGATGTCTGATAAACAGAAAGAGCTGTGTGTTAAATTTGGAATATTATCAAACATTTATTGTATAAGTTAATAAGAAATTATCTTAACATAGGAATTATTAAGTATATAGACATAACATGAAAAATTGAATATATGTCAGGAAAAGATCACATGGCCCTTAAACTGTTCATGAATAATCTAATGATATTGATAATGCTTCACATCCAGTAAATGTAATATGTGTTCCAAAAATTCTAACAATTAGTAGCCCCAAAACATGTAAATAAAACACATCTTAAGAAAAAAATCAACTCTAAACATTCTAAAGTGAGTTTCATCTAAAAATATGGTTTCAAACTATATAAGGCAAAATAATTAAGAAATAATAAAGAAATACACTATCATACTGATATATATTTTAACATAGCTTTCATAGCAATTGATACATTAGTCAGAAAATAAATCAGAAATATAAAACAGTTAAATAGCACAACTATCACAGTTCACAAAATAAACCTATTTAGACTGCACTCTACTATCAGAGAAAACATTTTTCTAAAACCAAAAATTTATGCAAGTTACCTATATAGTATTAAACCAATCAGTCTTAAGGAAATATAAATAATATATACTGCAAATACTATCTGTATTTTTAAAAAATGTATTTACATTAAAAATCAACTTAATATTCAGTGGAAACAGAAGGGTCAATTTGTCTAAGAATGATCACTAAGATGATTTTGAAGACAGAGCTTGCCTTTGACAAAGTTCTAAGAAATTGGTTAAGGTCCAATTTAGTAAAACTACCCAAATAAATGGAGAGATAGATCATGTTTATGTTTAAGGATCCCATCATAAAGATCTCATATTCCCATCATATAATCCCTAAAGGAATGTGATTCCAATTATAACTCTAATAAAAGAATAATACGAAACTCAAAAGGAAATATAAGATTAGGGGATTCATCATAATAGATAATCAAAACTCATTATACAAGTTTATTAATGTAGACATTAAGTATTGAGATAAAGATGTTAATTAGAGGAAACAAAAAGAGAATAGAAAGAGAGATACACACAAAATAATAAGGAAGCCCCATAGTGACATAGGTGGTTCAATATTAATATAGAAATAAATACTCTAAATTACAAGTTCAAGTAGCCATAGTACAAAGCTAATGTCAGTATTTTTTTAATGTTAATTATGAAAACTTACCGTTTTTTCTAAAGCAGCTAATTCATTTTTTGATGACTTTGTTTCTCTCAATACTTCAGTCACTGCCTCTTCATTCTCCTCAATATTAATATTAATATCTTGTATTGACGTACAGTAGAAATCAAACAGATTGCTAAGTTTTTCTATCTCTTTCCTAAGAGAAAAAACACAGTTGACTTTATCCACATTGAAGGGGAAACTATATTTTAAATTATATTTGAATTTGCTCCTGACTTAACAATGTAGATCAATGGAATTTATCTATTCCTAAAAGTTTTTCAACCCAAAGAAGCTCCTGAAAAGTACTACATAGATATAAAGAAGTAAATAGAGAGGAAAAAAAAGTTATGTTTCTGATGGAAAGAACCGAAAGAAAAGTGAATGATGTGTGAATTTTTAAAATAAGCCACCATTTGATTTGATTTCAAGTGAGAGAGCTAAATAGCACCTTTGATTCAGAGCCTGGATAGTACAGGGATATGAAAGGCGATTTTTAAAAAGCAGAAGAAAATAAGAGAAGAGAAGAAGCTGCAAAAGTGGAAAGACCATACATTATTAAAGCTCTGGGACTTCCTAGGCAGTCCAGTGGTTAAGACTTCACCTTCCAGTGCGGTAGGGTGCAGGTTTGATCCCTGGTCAGGAAGCTAATATCCTACATGCCTCACAGCCAAAGAACAAAACCAGAAAACAGAAATGATGTTGTATCAAATTCAGTAAAACTTTAAAAATAGTCCACATCAAGAGTGGTGGGAAGGGGTGGGAGGTGGGAGGTGGGAGGGAGGCTTAGATGGAGGGGACATATGGATACCTTCGGTTGACTCCTGCTGATGTGTGACAGAGGCCAACACAATATTATGAAACAATTTTCCTTCAATTAAAAATAAATAAATTTGGGGAAAAAATGGTCCACATCAAAAAAAAAGAATCTTTAAAAAATTTAAAAAATATATAAACCTCTGGTTTACTGTCTTGTCTCCCTGACGGTCACAGTAGCCAAAGCAGTAAACTGCAGTTGCAGAAAATAAGGGGCTTACTTAAGGAAGAGTAATTGCCGAGGAGATTTTTGTTCCTAGGCGACCTTCCATAAAAACAACCAGTGCTAATCTGTAAAGCTACATAATCCTTTATTTTATCTGGTAGGAAGAAAATGGGTTCCAAATATAAAAGTCACTTTAAAGTATGGTCTTATAGTTTAATGCATGAAAAAATACAGTGAGAAAGTGACCAAAATATCATTTGCAGAAAATATTAGCAAGGAATACAGGTAAGCCCAACTTTTTTTTAAAGAAACCATAAGCAAAATAATAGAGTGGTAGATTTACCTGAAACCCATATAAGAGATTAAAGAGTAAATCATTTGCTTGTACTAAAATTCTACAATGCAATATGGAATGGAGAAACTACCCAATAGACAAATGAGCAGATAAGATAAACAAGAATTCACAAGAAAATAAATGCTAGTGACCAATAAATATATGGTGTGTTTATCGAATTCACCCAGCCTCTCAGGCACTAACTCTAATTTTAGGAGTAGAGTCAAATTAAACTGAAAGATATAATCTTACAACAGAAATAAAAATTAAAGGAACAAACAAATGAGCAAGAAGATTCCTCTTTACCCTTTCAAACCTGGAGAGTACAGGTTTCCTATCAGAATTCTATTGCTCTTCCAGGTCAAAAATGAGTGGTTGGGAGTCAGCATTTAAAACATATATGTGTGGTTCAATTTTCTTCCTTTGAAGTTAATTTTTCTTCTCTCAATATTATCCATTTCCCCAGTGCAGATAATAAACTATAGATTTTGACTGAGTAAGAAATAGCCCTGTCCCGTGAAATGCAAGAATTAAGTATTATCTTAGTGATCTCTTCATCTCTATTTCTTAAAGCATTAACTAATGTGATCGATTCCTCAGCCTTTCAAGAATCCTTCAGTACCAAAGTTGCCCCCACTGATACTTCAGATTTCATTATTCTTTTATTTGCTAAATCATAAATAAATTTAGAAGAATAAAATGGGAAGAATCATTTTACCTTTAAAGAATTACTATAAGTAGAGCAATCAAGACACAAAAGAATATATGCTGTTTCCATTTATATGGAATTCAAGAACAGACCAAACTAACCATGGTGATAGAAGTCATAATGGTGATTACCTCTTTCAGGAAATGGTATGAACTGAGAAGGAAAATTTTTAAAAAAATTCTATATGCTAGAAACTTTTTATATCTTAACCTGAGGCATGGTGACATGAATGTATATACATATACATGTAGATAAAAATCATCAATCTATGTATTTGATAGCACACATAATTATGTTTCTATATGTCTACTAATTCTCAAAAAACTAAAAAAATAGTGAAGGAAAATTAAACATACCTTTAACATGTTACTTAGTAAATCATTTATGACTCATAATGCTTATAACAGAACTTTTAGAAAATATGCTTAAATGAGAAGAAAATTAACAAGTAAGTTATATGGTGCAATAAATAATATTGAGTAAAGAAATTAATAAAAATATGCCTTTGGGCCCTATTTAAATGTTATCTATAAAAATCACCAGCTAATTTTTATGTTCAAAATTGAGAAGCAAAAATTTTAGAAAATGTTACAAGATGTAGAATGTTTCATTTGTAATTAATATGCACTAACATCTGTTTGTGCCAAATAGATTAACGAAATGTTGAATATAAGTATGGTGTATATGTACAGAGACAGAAATAGATCAATGATTAAAATAAGAGATAGATATAGAAACATAATCAACAGCTTCAAGATAAAATAAGAAATACAGTAAAATAAGAAAAAGAGTGCAGAAAATTGAGAGCATTACAGTCTCAAATGAAGTTCCTGCCTCCACTTCTTGGCCCTATAAATTTGTAGGTTTGTCTAACTGACTTTGACCTTAGTCATTTGACTTGCTATAGTCATTTGAATGTTACCAAAAAGGGATGCAATCGGAGACTTACGAAGTTCATGTGTGAGTGTCCCTGCTTGCTCTTCAGTTCATTCAGTTGCTCAGTCATGTCCGACTCTTTGTGACCCCATGAATCACAGCATGCCAGGCCTCCCTGTCCACCACAAACTCCCGGAGTTTACTCAAACT